GTTCAAGGACAGCCTAGTCTACAGAGTGAGTTCAGGACAGCCAAGCTACACAGAGAATGTCTTGAAAAACAAAACAACCCAAAGAACATTTGCTGCTTATGCCAAGGGCTAGAGTTTGGTTCCCAGCATCCACATGGTGGCTCACAACTGTTTGTAGTTCCAGTTCCAGGGATTCAGCAGCCTCTTCTCATCTCCTTGTATACTAGGCACATGATGCACATAGACTGGGCAGGCAGACACCCACACATATAGCATAAAAGAAAACCACTTTCAATGTCAATGCATATAAGTCCTAGCACTTAGGAGGCAGAGGCAGGCAAATGCGTGTGAGTTTGAGGCCAGCCTGATCTATAGGTCGAGCAGCTCTAGGACAGCCAAGGCTACGTAAGACTATGCCTTAAAAACAAAACAAAGCAATCAAAAAACAAACAAACAAAAAATGAAGCAGCCTAAAGGCAGGTGACAAGGGGGAGGATGATTATTCTTAGGAAGATCTTTCTGATGATTTGACGCGGAGTGGACGGAGAAAGAAGTAGGGGCAGTGGGTGGCCGGGGGGGGGGGGCAGTTCGGGGCATTTGACAGGGTGTGTGTCTACCACCGGGCTTATGGTGTTATATCTATTTCCTGTGTGCACATGTGGCTAGCTGGAGGGAGTCTCTTCAATAAGCCATCTGTGTAAACCACGAGGCTGCATGAGAGCCGTGCTCTCCGGGTGGACTTCCTCAAGGGTTTGTAGTGTTCACTGATCAAGGATCATAGTTACCACACTACAATCCTGCCCTTTCTTTTTTTTTTTTTTTTTTAATTATTGAGGTAGAATTCATGTAACATATAATTAACATTTTAAAGTTACAGTCTAGTGGCATTTAGTGCATTTGCTATGTTGTGAAACCAGCACCTCGCGGGTTCAAAATGTGTCTCAGACTAGTTCACAATGAGAGGGCCACTCTCCTGCTGTGTGTGTTTGTTTTGAGACTGAACCTAAGGCCTCACACATGGTGTGGGCGTGCAACCACGAAGATACCTCCCCAGCCCCATATTAAAATGTATTACTGGTGTGTATGCTCACACATGCCGACATGAGGGCACATTATGTGTGCCCCAGCCTGTGTGTAGTGGTGCGCATGTGGAAGTCAGATGACCTTCCGCTGTGGGTGCCAGGGACCAGAGATTGAATTCAGGCTCTCAGGCTTGTACAATTAGAGCTTGTAGCTGCTGAGCCTTCTTCTCAGCCCCTCATGGAACTGAGTAGAAATTTATGCTGTGTGAGACAGGGTCTCACCGTGTAACTCCGGCCGGCCTAGAACTCACTATGTAGTAGACTAGGCTGACCTCACAGAGTTGTACCTGCTTCAGCCTTTCAAGTGTAGGAATTAAAGACATATATCACTACACCACCTCTCCTGAAATAGAATCCCTCCTCCCAAGCTGTCTGACTTTGTTATTTCCATTTCCGGATGTTGTACACCAGTTCTTATGATTCATCTATGCATTGACTCAACTGATGTTTGCCAAGCACCTACATACTAACCTCCCCCCCGTCCCGGTACTATGGTAGGTAGGTTCTAAGGATACAGCACTATCTGTTTATCCAGGGAACAGAGAGGCTAAGGCTAGTAGGAGTTTTATACACTGAGCATATAATTGACAGCAAATTAAATTATGTTGCATACTTGTAGGAAAAGGATGTTTCAGGGGCTAGGGATGTAGGTCAGTTGACATTGTTTCTCCAGCAAACATGAAGCCCTCGGTTTGATTCCTACACTGATAAGCTAGGTGTGGTAGAGCATACCTACAATTCCAGCACTTAGGAGGTGGGCACAGGAGGGTGAGAGGTTTAAAGTCATATTTGGCCACATAGCAAGGTCAGCCTTGGATACATGAAACTTTGGGAAAGCAGGAAGGAAAGGAATGAGGAAGAAAGGAGACATAGAAAGAAGAAAATTGTGTTGAATACTCGTGGAAGCCAGTAAAATGGCTCAGGAGGTAAAATGTTTTGTTCCTGAAACCCACACAGTGGAAGGAGACAGCTGATTTTATAGAGCTACACCAGAGCCCCACACCCCGTCCCCTCCCCACACATACAGATAAATAATGTATCGCAATTTATGTTATACTTCAGATTTATTTTATGTGTATGAGTATTTTGCTTCCATGCTTGCCTGTGCACTATGTGAGTGTCTGGTGCTGTGGAGACCAGAAGAGGGCATCTGATGTTTTGGAACTGGAGTTACAGATGGTCGTGAGCCAGCCACCTTGTAGGTCTGGGAACGAAACCTGGGTTCTCTGCAAGAGCAACAAGTGTTCTTGACTGATGGTTCATCTGTCCAGACACTGGAAAAAAAATTTAAGACAATGAATACTTGTGAACTGGCATGCTGATGCAGGCTGTAATCCCAGCTACCTAGGAGACTGATGAAGGAGGAGTTCCAGATCTGCCTGTCTCAAAGAGAAAAAGGAAGTTGGGGTTTTAGCTCAGCCAGACTGCACACCTAACACTTGCTAGCCCTGGGCCCAAACTCCAGTATGGGAGAGGTGGAGGTCAGACTGTCAACAAGACAGCTGAAATTCTTATAGAGTGTGACTGGTTCCTTTTCGGGGGGTTGGGGGGGGGGAAAGAAAGATCTTCCAAGGAACTGAGTGGAACCATATGAGGGTGGAAGCACAAAGTCATGAGTAAAAGAGCATTTTCATTTGCTACTGGAGAACAGCCCCTGATATAAACTGGGGCCAGTAGTGTGACCACCATTACCATTTTATAGATGTGGAAGTGATGCCTCTCACCTCTTCCTCTCCCTGCCCCCGTCAGATTTTTGCCTAAAGCCACCTTATGTTCTAAGGCCTGGTGAAGGTGGGAACCGTTTTTTGTCCAGCAGAGGGCAGGCTGAGAAGGAAAACTGCAGGCGCTCAGGGTCAGTTCAGCGTTAGTCCAGCCGCAAGTGTCGACCAGCAGAGGGCGCTGCGGAACCGTCTTGGCTCTACAAGGTGCCGTGCTCTGGTCCCTACCCCACCACACCCACTGGGACTCCAGTGCTCCTGACCCAGCAAGCTTTCAGCGCCCTGGGGCTTTTTCTTGCACACTAGTGCCCTCTTATGTTTTCCTAGCTGCTTGTTCCTTAATCAAACTGTGGAATAACAAACTAGGGCAAGTCACTGAAGTCACTTCAAACAGTGAGCCAGTGACCACAGACTCATGGATGTGCCTAATCCAGTCCCCGTGCCCGATCCCCAGGCAAGGAGCCACAAAGATTCCCAGCTGGTTGTTGCCTCTGTGCCATGGCTGCACGTCCCTCATGTAGGCACAATCTTGGGTTTCTTCAGGCAGGATGACCTGGCAACTGTTGCACCCCACCCACGGCCGGTTTCGCTTTCCTAATGTTAGAAGTGTCTCTAACTGAGGGAGGGTGGTGGAACAGGTTTCAGCATTTTCCCTATTTTTTTTTTTAATAAGTTCATTTGCTTAAGATTTCTTCTTTCTAGTGAGTTCCTCCCCTTTCTCAAAAGATACCCAGAGCGCCCTCTCTGGCATTTGTCCAAAGTCCAGGTTCTAATAGCGCTCAGCTAGTTTAATTTTAACCATAAAACCGTCTTTTGGAATAATTACTTTTTAATCCGGAAAGAGCCAGTTTGATACAAGACCATAAGAGCTTCCTCCTTCTCAGAGCTAGCAGATGTAGAGGAATATTCGTTTCCTGCTCATGCGTCTCCTAAGTAAGGGGGCTGACGGGCATGAGAACGAACCATGTAGAGAAACGGATAGAGTTTAGCTGTTTCAGTGTCTGCTTTAAAGACCTTGGTGTCTAAGGAGGATAGGCTGGAGAGAGAGAGAGTGAGGGGAGACAACATGAAGACCTTTGTGCTGAGTTGCAGGTGGCAAAGAGTGGCCTTTTCTAGAGCTGTCCTGTGCACAACCAGGTGCCCTCTGATTTCTGGGACAGTCTCTGTTTCTCAGACAGAAGACACAATGGTCTTTGTTAGATCACCTATCAGTTGTCAATTCTAAAACTGTGGGCATCTAAGAAACCTGTCAGCAACCACAGTCCTCTTCTTCAGACTAGCCTGGCAAGGGCAGGCTGGCAGAGCCGGTCGTCCCCGGAGCGTTCCACGGCTAGCTGTGATACTTTTGATTCCATTTCTTCCCTTATGACCCCAGTCCTTTGTACTAATTACTTGTGTTTATAAAACCTTAAAGGATTTTTGATGTATCAGGGTAGAAATCAGTCTTCCCTTTTGTTGTTAAGGTGGCAAACTTTTTATTTGGCAATAAAAGAAAAATCAAAGATGAGAATGAGAGGAAAGGGAGCTGTGTGTGGCGGGGACCCGTCTAGAGAGTGCTGAGGCAGGCAAGCACCGGAGAGCTCTGTTACAGAGACAGCCTTACTGCCGGCCCATGCCGGCTTGCTCGTGTCCAGGGCTCTCCTGGCAGCACTGGGTAAGAGGAAGAGGGTAAAGCACATCTGAGCACCTGTTACCAGTGGCAAGTCTTGAGCAAAAATCAAGGGTCTCCTAATCTAGTTGGAGATGAGCCTTTTGGGGTCAAGGGGGTTGTTTGTGGTAAATTGTATATGTGTGATCTCAGCTCCAAAGAGGTGGTGACAACTAGATCAGGAGTTCAAGCCCAACCTTGGCTACATAGGGAGTTTGAGATCAGCCTGGGTCACATGTGATTCTGTTTTGAAAAAATAACCAAACAGTCCCTCCCCCAAATAAGGGCAGATGCCAGAAGCCAATGTGGACTATGGATGCCAACATGCTGAGAGACAGCACCTATAGTAGTCTTTACGTGTATTTGATGTCTACAAACAGAACTCTCCACCCATTAACCCATCTAACCTAAGAGGGAACAAGTCAGAGCCTGGTGCTCTCCTCTGAGAAAAGGATGGGGGAAGGGTACATGTGAGTGTCACATATTCAACAACAATATGCTGTGAGGATGGGTCAGAAGGAAGGCGGCAGGTGTGCTTGTCTGCATGTCAGTTGTTTCTCTTCTGTCCTTTAGTTCCTAAGACTTCCAGACTAGACCTGCTCAGCAGCGCTCTCCTGACACCTTCTGCTCCTGCACCTGGGCTTACACCACAGAACACCCTTTCCTGAGGCCTTCCTCTGAATCAAAGGTAGGGGTTGAGGTGGCACTCTCTCCTGGAGGGGCTGTCACCTCTAGGCTGTTGCTGGGAGGAGACACAGATCCTAGTTGCCTGTCTCATGGAGTCAAGCCGTCTTGGAGAAGGGCAAATGTGATTCAACTGGCTCAGGGGTAGGGGTGAGGAACTTTTGTGTCAGGAATTCTTAGCATGTCCTGATGGTTTTCCAAAATCCAGTACATATAAGAGTACATATAAGATTAGGACTTCTCTTTATCAGATAATTGAGAGAGAGACAGAGAGACAGAGAGACAGAGAGACAGAGGGAAAGAATGTGTATGTATGTAGGTATGTATGTATGTATGTATGTATGTATGTATGTAGTGTGTGTGTGTGTGTGTGTGTTGGGCAGAGGAAAACATGCAGGAGTCTGTTCTCTCCTTTTACTGTTTGGGCTCTGGAGATTGAATTTACCTTGGCATCAGGCTTGGTAGCAGGCACCTTTACCCACTGGATGTCTTGCTGGACCCTAGGTTCTACTTTGAAGGCACAGGGAGTCCAGTATGAACAACAGAGTTTGAAAAACAGAAGGTCACAGGAAAAACTTGTGTTACTGGGGCAGATGTCACAAGTCCTGGACTATCAGGGTGGGTTTAGACAGGTCAATGAGTCCACTTGGGGTGTGAGAAATTCCCTCTCAATGCTCAAATCCTGGAGAGAAAGGAATGGAGCCAGAGTCTCAAATCAGTACATGTAGCTGACCTAATTATAATGTTGCCTGACTGTTTAATTAGTAGATAGCTGTATGGTGTGGGACAGCAAAGTCACCCATAGCTCTGAACAGCAGCAACAGTGTCCTGGGGCCCTGGAAAGAGTGAGCGAAGTGTTCAGCTGGAGGATCATCCTGCCTCAGCTTCCAGGGCAGCATGGATCAGAAGTAGAGGGTGGCTGAAAAGCAGACCCAGGCTGTAGATCTGGGGAAGAGTATGGAAAGGAGGATCAGGAGATCCGGCTGTGGCCAGGGAAGCCACAGACAAGCTGCCTCACCCACTGCTGCCTCAGGAGCCCCAGAGGCTGTGGCAAACTCAAGTCACGTGTGGAACAGTTGCTATGGGGTGTTTCCTGCCCTAAACTCACCCTGTCAGCAAGATGCTGTACACCTGTACTCAGCTCACTTACCACTTAGAAACACTGTAGACAGGGGATGCTGGGAAAGAACCAGAGCATCACAGTGGCTTAAACTAGAGCTCTCTGAACTCGGGATCGGAGAGCCAGCGGGAGCTGGGGAGCCTGACCTGGACATGCTCGTCTCATGGGAGAGGGTAGTGGGTCGGCAGGTGCCAGCACTGTGTGAGCCTCTTGGTCACGTGAAGGAGGGAGGAAAGGAAAGGCTGAGGCATCAGCAGACAGCTCCTTGTCCAGAGCCATTTTCTCCGTCACGAACATTGGAGGTTCGATTGTCTGGGCCAGTCAGCTAACTGAGCAGAAGAGTAAGCTGAGGGAGAAGCCGCATTTAGGCTGGAGGAAGTGGTCAGGGCTGAATACCATGCAGTAGGCTCTTTGATGCTGAGATGCTTGAACCCTAGACCTCACTATGAGATGTGAAGAGTCACTCCAAGTTTATAAGCTCATTAAACAACTCGTATTTTTGACTGGCTACATGTTTGGCTTAGCAAAAATACACAGAGTGCTTCAAGCCACACCTAACCCTTCTCAGAGCTCTTGGCCAGCAGTTTCTTCTAATTACTCCAGTGAGCGTCTCTGTTATTTACAGTTCATAGAAGACTGGGTGGAGTGACTTCTGGCTTGGTATCTTTTGGGCCACAGGATGGGGGAGTGGTTCAAGTTCAGCTTGACATCTATCTGAACCAGAAGAGACTGCTAGGGTTGAGGGTTGAACCCTACCCTACACATTCTCACACACACACATGCACACACACATTCACACACATACATTCACACACAACACACATGCGTAGACACATTCACACACACATTCACACACACACTCACACACATATTCATACATTCACACAGACACACACACACATACTCACACATTCACACACTCACACATTTACTCACACACACATTCACACACACACACTCACACACACTCACATATTCACACATACTCACACATTCACACATATACACACATTCACACACATACAATTTCATGTTGTCTTTGGCTGTGGAGCCAGGATCAGGGCTTTATTTGTACTTCGTCCTTGCGTTTACAGTAACAGGTGGCTGGCTCACCCATTCCTTTTGGTTTTCTTTTCTTTTCTTTTTTTCTTTTTTTTTTTGGTTTTTCGAGACAGGGTTTGTCTGTGTAGCCCTGGCTGTCCTGGAACTCACTCTGTAGACCAGGCTGGCCTCAGAAATCCGCCTGCCTCTGCCTCCCAAGTGCTGGGATTAAAGGCGTGCGCCACCACTGCCTGGCTCCTTCTGGTTTTCTAAACCAATTAACTGTGTGTGAGGATTTGGGTATGTAGTTGTAGGCATGTGTGCCACAGCACAGATGTGGAGGCCAGAGGACTACTTGCCAAGAGCAGTTTTTTTATTCTGCCACGTGGGTCCTAGGGACAGAACTCTGGTCATTAGTCTTAGCAGCAAGCGCCTTTCCCCATGGAGCCCTCTATTTATAATATATATCATAATTAGCATATATTATGTTTATATAATGTTATTTATGTATTTAGACAGAGTTTTCCTCTGTAACTCAAGTTGTAAATTCACTACGTAGTCAGGCTGACCTTCAACTCTTGTTGATTTTTCTGGCTTGGCCTCCCAAGCACTGAGATCTTAGGCATGCATGTCCATTCCTACATTCCTCCCTCTTTCCATCTGTCCTTCCCTCTCTCCTTCTGTCCCTCCCTTCCTCCCTCCCCTTCCTTTCTCTTGCTTCCTACCTTCCTCCCTTCTAACCTTCTTTCTCTCTTCTTTCCTTCCTTCCTTTCTCTGGAGTCCTAGGTAGTCCAGGCTGGCATCAAACTCACAGTACCAAGGGATGACCCTCAACTCTGATCCTCCTGACTTTATCTGTCAAGTACTGAGATTATAGGCAGGAGCCCTATGTACAGATTACTGAATTCAGGATCAATCCCAGTGCTTTGTGCATGCTAGCAGAGAAGCACTTTGCTAGCTCAGCTGCATCACACATGGCCCGAGACTCTAGGCAGTCCTTGCCTTAGTATCCCATGTGCTGAGATTACAAGGCATGAGCTATCGTACCCAGCCACCATTCCCTTATAATTTGGGAAAAGGAGAAGACTTTTGCCCTTGTCCCCTTCTCTCTTTCTTCTCCCTTATCTCCTCCCTCCCTCCTTCCTTCCTCCCTCCCTTCCTTGGATATTTTCAAGACTACATTGAAGTCAACAATCATAACACCCTGTGGATCACTTTAAGAAGGCTGTAGGAGGCTCAGTCTGCTCACAATCCCTATTGTCTAGATTTTCCATCATCTGGCCTGGGGATGGTGCCCAAGACAAGTAAGCCATGCTACCCAGGAGTTACAAGTGGTCCTGGGTCGGAGTTGTTTTTTCTGACTTGACATCAACAACCTTATCTTCAAAAGGCAAAGCGCTTCTGCCGCTTTTGCTCCTCACCATCTCTGAGGTAAACAAGCTTCCACCCTGTCTCTGGAGCTAATAATAGACGGGATCAGAAACCTGCTTCCTCTGACACACCTGTATGAGATGTTTTCAAAGGGGCGGTGGCAGGGAAAGGGTTAACCTCTTCACCTGGCTCCCACTTTCCAAGACAGCCAGGAACGTGAAGGCATCCACAAGCCTTGTAACCTACATGGCACTGGACTTTGTGGGCAGGGCTGCCAATAGCACAGACAGGCACATGGGCAGAGTCCCTGGTTTTTGACAGCCTGTCTATACTGGCTCTCTTTGGACAATGATCCTCTGTTTAGCTTGTGACATGTAACACTGTCAAATGTCTCCTTCACCTGAGTTCCTCAGGGGTAGTAAAAGAGCTGCACTTAAAAAACATTTTAACGCCGGGCTGTGGTGGCGCACGCCTTTAATCCCAGCACTTGGGAGGCAGAGGCAGGCGGATTTCTGAGTTCGAGGCCAGCCTGGTCTACAAAGTGAGTTCCAGGACAGCCAGGACTACACAGAGAGACCCTGTCTCGAAAAACCAAAAAAAAAACAAAAAAAAAAAAAAACAAAAAAAAAAACATTTTAACTTTCAGTCGCATGTTTGGGTACATACACGTGAATGCAGGTACTGTGTGGGTACACACACGTGAATGCAGGTACTGTGTGGGTACACACATGTGAATGCAGGTACTGTGTGGGTACACACACGTGAATGCAGGTACTGCAGAGGCTGGAGCCTTCACATCCCCTTGGTCTTGGAGCTTCGGATGGTTGTGAGCTTCCCAACACAGGGGCTAGGAACTGAACCCAGGTCTACTCAACGGCAGTATAATATAGTCTTTTAACCCCTGACACTCAAGGCTCCCACTCCCAATTACACACATGTGCCCCCACCCCGTTAGTACTTAGATTCACTCTAGGGCATAAGACACGCTATGTAAGCATGACACCACTGAGCAACATCCCAGACTTCATTGTCATTACATTCAAAAAATGTGTGGGCTGGAGAGTTGGCTCTGTGATTAAGAGCACTTATTGTGAGCCGGGCGGTGGTGGCGCACGCCTTTAATCCCAGCACTTGGGAGGCAGAGGCAGGCGGATTTCTGAGTTCGAGAGTTCGAGGCTAGCCTGGTCTACAGCGTGAGTTCCAGGACAGCCAGGGGTACACAGAGAAACCCTGTCTCGAAAAACCAAAAAAAAAAAAAAAAAAGAGCACTTATTGCTTTGTAGAGGACCCCAGTTCAATTCCCGGCACACACATGATAGCTAACGATCATCTGGAACTCCAGTCCCATGGGATCCAGTGACACTTTCTGACCTCCCTGGCCCCAAGCATGCCTGTGGTGCACAGAGGCAAAACACTCATACACAGAAAAAAATAAGTAAATCTAAAACATTTTAAAAAGGTGTGTGTGTGTG